TAGCACCTGTCTGGCAAGTATGAGGCCCAGGGTTTGATCAAATAAATAAACAAAATAAATAAATAAGCAAAATAAAAGTATATATAAAATATAAGCGCTACTGTCAAAATATATACACCCTGGGTAGTGCATTGACCTGTATGCTTATGGTTACTACCTACACTGTGACCTCCTTCTCAGAAATTTTCATTCGCAACTTTCTTTTCTTTCCACCCATTACTGTGCTATTTTTTGTCCTTGAGACCTTGACTTTCCCTTGTTGCACTCATTCACTCTTGTGGCACTATAAGAAATTAAGCTAGAAATTAAACACTGGAAATTAGACTAGAGGTGAAAATCTGATTTCACATTCAATTTCCACTACTTTCCAGTTATAAGGCGTTAGTAACACAATTTACCTTCTGTAAGGTTTTCCCTTCCTGTGAAAAATGAGGATAGTAATAGTCTTTACTCATAAATTTGCCGGGAAGACTAAGTGAAATAATGCAGTGAAGGGCTTGGCCCCGATTTGCACGGACAAGAAAAAGTGTTACACTAACTGTTGATGATTTCCATAGCTATACTTAAAACCTCACCATGACTCCTCCATTCCATAGGCCGGTTACAAACTGCCTGTTGCTCATTTCTGCCAGGTTTTCTGGCACATTTTTCAACATGGGCAAAACCAAACTCATTATCTACCCTAACAGACTTGTTCCTTTTCCTGTATTCCTAGTTTTCGATCCGTGGTTCCACCCTTACCGCAGTCTGCCCTGCCTGTAGACTCAGGCACACTTGACTCCTCCCTCTTTGCTGCCCACACATCGCATCAGTGGAGCGCTCCGAATCTGTCTTAGACAGACTCCTCACTCCTTTCTTCCATCCCACAGAAGTATTATTAGCACAAAAAGGTGAATGTTCACTTGACGTTATTGTAGGCATTAAATGAAAGGCAAAACTCATAAAAGCAAAAATGTTAAGTGTGTGTGTGTGACTGTGTGTGTGTGTGCGTGTCTGTGTGTGTGAGAGAGACAGAGAAGCAAGACACATGGTAACAGCAAAATGGAGAAACGTTTGCAACAGACAGAAAGGAAATAGACTTTATATATAAATTCTTATTAAATTATTGCAAAACAACCTTACAGTGGATACAATCAACATACATTATATGCATGTTTGCAAATGTCATGAAGAAGCTCATTATTTTGTTCAATTAGTATGTGTTAATTACAGAAAAATAAAAATAAATAAAATAACCCTCACAGATAAAAGAACAAATAAAAAACAAAGTTTACCACAAAACAAAAAGCCAGTAATAATGTGAAAAATGTTTTACTAGTAACACAAATATGAAAATTAAACAATGAGTATCATTTTTTACTTTCACACTGACAAATATGTTTTAATATTAAAATATCCAAAATTGACTAGGGTGCAAAAAATGGATACTATCATGAGATTCTTATGGGTCATTAAAAAAACTTTTGGAGAGAAATTTGGTAATGTGAATAAAAAAATCTTAAAAATAGATGTGCCTTTTGATCTGACAGTTTTATTCACAGGAATTCATGAGATGGAAATCATTAGAGATGTATGTATGTGTGAGTACTTAAGTACAAAAATGCCTCACCCAGTATTGCTTATAATAAAAAACCTGATAATTGCAAAATAAGGCCAGGTTAAATGTTGCAATGGGATAACTATGTGATACCACATTACATAGACCTTATAAGTAATGTGACAGTAAAAGACTGAAACTGGAAGGATGTTCACAATATTTTTTTCATAATATTTTAATATTTGGGAAAAAAATCACACAATGTTATAAACCCTAATTAGGCATAAAATATAAACACACTGTTGGTATAAAAAAGTGTATTATACACCATATCATAGAGAATCATATACCTTATTATATACCATGCTATCAGAGCTTACTACTGGATGATGACATCACTCCTTTGTCTTATATCTTTTATTTTCTAATTCATTTATAAAAGAAACATCAGTTTGAAAAAGGAAACTTTTTTAAATGCACTGAATGACCCTTGGACAAGGATTTTCAGCAACTCCAATTCCATCTTCAGTGTTCCGTGTGTGTTGACAATAATGTCCTCCTAAGTGTCACCACCAAGTGCTTAGTATATGTTTCAGGTTTCTGTATTTTTCTGGCCAACCTTTGTCATCTTGATCCTACTGATCTTATCATGATAGACAATTCTGACCACCGGAGAGAACCAAGGCACCATTTCATGGGTAGCGTAATCACACACACTCCAGAACAATTCAGACAGGCTCCCTACGTTGTCCTGCAATGACTTTCACAGAAGCCGAAGCCTAGCTCAAGAGTCACTGATGGAAGCCATTTCTACAACTCTATTTGGATTGAATTTCCATGAGGGCCACTAGCATGGAAAATTGATATCATCTTTGCCTCCTTCCTGCTTGTGTCCTACTTTTCCACTTTGACACCAGTTTGCTGATTTCCTCCAACATCTCTCCCATTCATTTTGTCCTTTTTATTTCATTCCCTCTTAATATCTCACAAAGCAGCTGCCTCCTAGAGAGGTCTCCTGGAGTCTGGTCCCTCTTGTATGAAATATTTGTATCACCCCCAGATCATCTTCTTCAAAAATAAATTACTTAGTAAAGCACTCCTTTACTAACATTCTCAACATTTATTTCATGTGTGAGATAAATATATTCCATTTTACTTAACCCATGTTGAGCTGGGTTTTCTATTATATACATCCAAATCAAATCCTAAATGATAAAAATCTCCTTGAGTCTAAAATGATGTTATGACCCATCCCAGCATTCCTGTACAATAGCAGCTTTTATTTGTGCCATTTTGCTATTGCCTGTCCTACCAGCATTCTTCTTATAGATTTCCTCTCTCTCCACTTTGACTCAATCTGTGAAATGAGAAGTGTATACCTCCGAACACTCTGGGTAATACCTGTCACTTCATACCTGCATGCTCAATATATTTCCTATACTTGTTCAGACAAAGCTCCATTTAATGTCCTGATTTTCACAGACACTCAGTAAATCTTTACTGGTCACGAAAAGTATGAAACATACAAGGCCATGCCTTATGTTCCTGCCAACCACTGGGAATCCTTGATGTAGTGAACTATTTTGTTTTATTTTGTTTTATTCCACAAGAAGCTTGAACATTTTTCCCAGCATCTATAGAAAGCGAGGAGAAGATGGGAGTCTAGAAATGGCTGGAAGAAAAGTGATGAAGACTGGTTTCTCTTCCTTACTGTGACACCTGCTCCAGAGACAGTGTAGTTTCCTCACCTTGCACTCTGCCAATTTCTTTTAAATAGCTTCTCTAAATTGATAAGGCATTTTTTAAGGTCAATTTGGTATTGTGCCTTAAGAGTCACAAATATAGACATAATTATGCAACAAATCCTAAGTGCGATTTAACAGTTACTCCTCTTTTAAGAATCTCAACAAATATTTAAGAAGTCTTGCAAAGATTCAGGTATAAAATATTTAATAAAACATCACTTTTAGTAACAACCTGAGTACATATCAATAGGAAATTTGGTAAACATACAATTTTATATTTGTGAAAGCTAATACTTTTTAATCATTTAATGTTTGGCTTATGAAGATTATTCAATGGGAGTGACATTCAGGATATTATATTACTTGATGAAAGCAAAATATAAAAGTTTAATACATATAATGTATAATTTACTATGGTTTCTATCGAGATGTCCTCCCAAAGCCTCATACTCCATTAGGCAGGGCTTTTGAAAAGTGATTGAACCATGGAAAATCTATAGTTAAATGTGATGTTCAGAAATTAAATTTGGTCAGAAAAGGCTGGTCACTGGGGGCCTGACCTGGAAGAGTACAACTCCCTTTCTGGCTTCTCCTTTCTCTGTCTGTTTCCTGGCCACCACAACATGAGCAGTTTTCCTCCTCCATGTTCTTCTGCCATGCTGTTCCACTTTGGGCTCTGGCTGGTCATAGGTTAAAAACATGAGCCAAAACAAACTTTCCTCCTTTAAACTGCAGATATTGGGCATTTTGTCCAAGGGATAAGGAAAGTAACTAAGACAGAATTTCATACCGGAGAAATGAAGAGATTGCTCTGACAACCTGATCATGAAGTTTAGAGCTTTTAGAGCTGGTTTGCAGTGAGAGTTTTGAAAAGCTTGACAGTACTGACCTACAATGCTTTAGTTTAACTTGATGGGAGTTGCAGTCAGAGTTCAGAAGACCTTAATGCTGATAGAAAGGCAAATTGTAAAAACGGGGCTGAGGAAATTTGAGCTGGGAAGAAAGACTCCATTGAGAGTTGGGCTAGAAACTGTATGCTGTGCTCTGACAAAAATTTTGTCTATATCTTGCTTATGTCCTGATACTTTCTGGGAAATTAAGGGTGGCAGACTAACTAATCTGGCAGAGGAAATTTGAAGATAGCCCAATGTTGAGGCTGTGGCATGGGTATTGTTTGCTGGTTTCAGGTATGTCTACTGTGAGAAGCAGGAACAAAAAGCCATTTGAAAATATCTGCTGTGGCCAGAAAAGAAGCACCTGTAAAAATGGGACCTATTAAATTTTGGCCCAGGACAGCTTGATTGATGAAAAGGTTAACATTAAAAAGAAGCTAGAAACTTTAGGGCAGGATGATAGGCAGGGTGATTTGATGGCATCTTAGAAAATAGCAAAACCCACTTCACCCCAAAGAAGTAAAGGACTTTGTTTTGAAAAAAGACCTGCATGGTGCTCTACTCTTTCTGAAACAAAGAAGGAAATGTTGCCCAGAGTTTGGCTATGCAAGCACTCAGAACCCTCTGCAGCCTTGATCTCATATGGTCTGCCTACTACTTAAGCTGGTCATATACTTTGGCATCACCCCGTGGTCCTTGTTTTACTGGTATGCAAAATGCAAAAGTTATGAGGTCAGGAAGTGTTTCAGTCAGATTTCAGGAAAAGCCCTGGGAGCCCACATAGTGTGCCCCTGAGAGGGCAGAGTACAAAGCCGTTAGAGTGAAGCCAAAAGGGCAGTAGAGACTACAGGAAGTCAAAGAAGCCAGAAATGTGGGACATCTACTGAGAAAGAACACCAGAGGTGAGTAAAGCCACCCCAGGAGAGAGCCCATGAGGTCTGCAACTGACAAAGCCATAGAGATGGGCTGTCCAAGCCCTTTGGAGTTTTCAGCTCATTGCCACATCTTTGTCCCAGATCCTGGATGCAGAACTATGGAATTTAATGTTTGTCCTGGGGATTTCAACCTTGCTTTTGTCCCACTCTTTTCTATCCCCCCTCCCTGTGGGATTGGGATTCTTTACCCTGTGCCATTGTATGTTGTCAGTGTTTAACTTTTTTTTAATATTAACAGGAGCCCACAGCCAAGAGTTTGCCTTGAGTCTTAGGGCAGACTTTGGACTTGGACTTTTCAGCACTTCTAGAACTGTTAAGACTCTAGTGACTCATAGAGATGGACTAAATTTCATTTTGCATAAAGGGGTGTGCATGAGCCTTTTAAGGGCCAGGGGTGAAGTGTTATGGTTTAGATAAAGAATGTCCCCCAAAGGCCTTGTGTGTTCATAGGCAGGGATTTTGGAATATGTTTGGACTTTGGGGGCACTGTAACTACCTTATTGTTAGAAGGTGGGACCTGTTCAGGTGAGGCAGGTCACTGTAGGCGGGGCCTGAAAGAGTATATCTCCCTCCTAGGCTCCATTCTACTCTCTCTGCCATCATGACGTGTGCAGCTTTCTTCCAGCCAGGGCTGTCATCAGGCTGTCTCTGTGGTAAAGCCTGCGTTACAGGGACTGAAACTTGTAAAAGTATGAGTAAAAAAGAAATGCTCTGTTTTAAGTTGCAGGTATCGGATATTTTGTTACAGCAATAAGAAAATGACTAAGACAGAAAAAAATATATATAGGGTATTCTTCAGAAAAGGCAAAATATAAAATAATTACGTATTATATATCTGGTGCATATGTATAGGTCAGCTATCCAGATTTTACAAATGGGATATATATATATTATACATATTTCATTAAATCAGGGTGATAGACATAATTAATATGTGATTTTTTTTCTTTATACCTAATAAAATTTTCTGATAGATATAGATGCATATATATAGATGGATATATATAAATATATAGAGAGAGAAATAGATGGATACATATATATATATTTTTAACATACACAAAATTAATATGTAATTATTTTGCAAATGTAGACTTCAATTTTTTTTGTTTGTACTTAATATTTTGAAAATTTACAGTGACACACTTTGGTTTAAGCCATGAAGTTATTCTCTTTCATCTAGACTCTCATACCTTTCATTTTTCAGAAATAGTCTTGCTTTATCTATTGATAATTTTCTCTGCCTTTTAATCTGTTTTGTTTTGTTCTGTTTTTTCCGGTATGGGGAATCAAACTCATGACCTCTCACTTGCAAGGCAGGCGCTGTGCCGCTGAGCTAAATCCCCAGCCCGTTTTTTTGTTTGTTTGTTTTGGTACTGGGAATCGAACTCAGGACCTTGTGCTTGCCAGGCAGGCACTTGTGGCACTGAGCTATATCCCCAGCCCTTAATCTGTTTTCATCATCTCAGAAATTTCTAAATTCTATTTCCAAAATACCACTAAGACTTTTAAAAATTGTTTTATAATTTTTGTCTTTTATTTCTATTTTCTGGAAAATTTGCCTGACTTGCTTATCAGAATTTTTTACAGAAAGCTTTTTACTAGTTTCCAAGAAATGTCTAGATATATTTGTCTAATTCTGTTAAATATAAACAGGTTTCTAAAATATGAATATACAGCTTAATCAATTAAGCTTTCCTTATCATTGATAATAATGCTATAACAGCTTCCTAAGAATACTGGTACCCATATTCTGACATGTTAGTTGTGTTTTAAAAGCATTTAAATTGTATATTTTCTTAGATTTGCAAACCCTAACTTACTTAACCTCAACAATAACTTGGGCATTTTTTGGATAATATAACAGATGACCTGTAAAACTCAGGAATTTTTTTAAATTGTATTGCTATTGGAAGATCCTCATTTCCCAGATCTTTGCCAGCATCTTAGTACCTGAATCAGACACCACAGAGATACTTGGGCCACAACTCTTAGCCAGTTCTCCTTGGAGGAGAGATACTTATTTACACTGTTAGAACTATCATTCTCAAATAAGACATATTGTTGTAAAAATCGTTTCATGTGATAGGAGGATCAGAGGTGCCCACCACATGTGTCTACTGGGTTTCAGAACTTCCAGCTTGTTGAATCCTAGAAGACTCAGGAGGATCAGAGCTGTAGGAACCCCAAACTCCAGGCCCTGCAGAACAAATGTTTGCAGCAGTTGAATGTAGGAGGCCTCCTCCTCCACTGTACACTTGTTTGGTACACCTGATTACAGCCATCGTCGAGTACTTTTGGTGATGCTTTCTCCTTTTGATGAAATTGTTCACGAATCCATCTTTAGTACTGACTCACCAAAATAAATGTCATCCAAGATAATCCCATCTAGGTACATTGTTCCTCTTAATTTTTAAATTTTTATTTGTATGTGTTTACAGTACACAATGATTAAATTCATTATGGGAAGTTGGTATACACATTCTAACTTTTTTCATTTCTTCCCATCCTCTTTCCCCCTTCTTTCTGTCCCCCCCATATGAGAAAAATCTATCTCCCTACTTCTTATTATCTGTTCTCTTCTTTGCTCTTTATTTATATTTTGTGTTTTTCATATTAGAGAAGCCATGTGATACTTAAGCTTGTGTGTCTGATTTATTTCACTTAATGTTATAGTCTCAGTGTGTATCCATTTTCCTACAAAGAACTCAAGTCTGGGTGTCTGGTCTTGATGAGTGCAATTTCCAGTATTCACAACTGTTCTAGAAAAAAATCTTATGGCTCTCCCAGGAGCACACATTGACTTTGCTGACTCTGCAGCCCTTGAAAGCACAATCAATTAATTAACCTGGTCATTCTTGAGTCACTCGATAGTTTTTCAGTTTACTCTACCGTATGTTATTGTTGTAGTAAAAGTTTTTAAAGTTCATTCTCCACTTAGAAAAACTTTACAAAGCTAGGAATTTTTTTAAGCCATTTAAAAAGCAGCTCCCTTTTTGAATAATCATCAGACAAGCAACCTCTTGAAGCATCCCCATTCCCCCCATTAGGGTCATGGCCCAGTCTCCCAGCTCCTGGTATGTAAGGCTTGCATTGTTTTTTGGTGGGGCAGACTCCTGAGACTCAGCCCAAGGGATTAGCCAACCCCCGCCCCTTCAGAGGAATGGGCCAAATAAATAATAATTGAAGATGAAAGAGATTTTCACAGTTTCAACTAAGACTAAGAAGATTACATCTACTCTAACCCTAATCACAGTGGTAGCTTTATTGCCACTGGGTTCACAGTGAGGTCACAAGTCACTGGTAGTAAGAAGGGGCTTGGAAAGGTACAAGTTATGTACCGTGCACAGTCTGCTGTTTGTTAATTAGCTAGTGCTACCTGGCAGTTAGTATGCAGAAATGCTAGCAGAACTAGGGAAAACAAGGTGTGGAACATTGGGCTTGTAAGCATTTCTGAAAGCCGTAATTATGGATCTCAGCAAAGGAAGTGATAGCCACCTAGCTTGAAAGAAAAAAAAAAATACTTATAGCAGGTCCCAGAAAAACACTACTGCAAGGCCAATTCTTCACTTTGTTTTGCAACATATCAAATTCTACTGATAAAGACAAGCCAGTGGGTTTAGTACAAGCTCCACAACTCAGCTACAGGTGACCTTGGGCAGTTATTGAACCCCTCTTGACCTCAGATTCTTCACTTGACTCTAGCCAAAAGATGTAATGAGCAAAAGCCTCAGTCTTAGGAAGTAAAATATGGTGAATACAGTACATTGGTCTTATAAAAATTAAGTCAGATAAATGACTGAATAATTGTTTAGGAAATTGAAAGGATTTGTATATAGAAGTAGGTTATGATCTCTATACAAAAGTAAATTATTGTTTCTCACCATTATTCCTTACACCATGCTTTAAGATTCAGAGAACTCTGCCACAAAACAATAATGGCTCTATTAAAGTATAAAAGGGTAAACACTCTACTCTAACACTCATTGTATAAAGTATAAAAGGGTAAACACTCTACTCTACTGAATGTTAAGACTTGTACTAGGAGACTAAAAGAGCCCCATTGTCCTTACTAAACCTAAAAGAACTCCATCATCTTAAAGACTGCATCACTGACCATTGTCGACTACATGTGATCTTCCAGGCCCTGTGGAAGTTCTGTAACTCGTACATGTTTCTCTGTGTCACACAGTGCTGAGTTTCAGTTGTGGCTTTATCCACTCACTGTATAATCCCTGGAGATGTTGCTCACTGTGTCAAGGCACAATTTTTTCATGTTTGTGTCCAATATGTAGTTCAATGTCATTCTTTAACACAATGCAGTACTATTATTGCTAGTGATTTATATAGAAATTCAAGGTGAGAGGCTGAATTGCTTTCCAAAGACACATCACATCTAAATACTTGAATTGGAATTTATTATTTATTATTTTAATTAACAAATAAAAAATCATATATATTTATCATGTACAACACAGTGTTTTGAAATATGTATGCATTGGGTAATGACTAAATTGAGTTAACTGTCATATCACCTCACACACCTATCACTTTTTAGTCCTGAGATTATTTAAAATCTTTTTTATAAATTTTTGAGAATAAAGAACATTGCTCTTAATCACATTCACCACGTTCTACAATATACCAGGTGAATTTAATTGAATCAAAATTTAAACCTAGACAATCTAGGTCTGAGGTCATCATCTTTGCCCTTATGTAGCGATGTATGCTCCAAAGTACAAAGCACACAGTAGACATCTAGCAAGTGTAGGTATGATGTTCTGCTGCATAAGAGGACAGGCCCTGAATGTGAAGTGCCTGGGCTCATCTGGTGCTGCCTGCTAGGAGTTGTATGACCACAGACAAGATAGCTTTCTGTGCCCCAGTCTCTTCTCTGATAAAATGGCAATATAACTAGTACTAATTTTTAGGGCTCTGAGTACTAAGTTCATATATATAAAAAGTAT